TTTTTTTTTTTTTTTGGGACAGGTACTCTGGTAAAACCACGTTTTTGGACATGATAAGCATGTTTTTTTGGACAGGTACCATGGTATTACCATGATTTTGGACATGACATGTGTGTGTTTTTTGAACAGGTACCATTGGTGTTACCATGTTTTTGTATATAGTGATCTCATTTTTATTTTTTTATTTTTTTGGGACAGGTAATTTGGTAAAACTACGTTTTTTGGACATGATAAGCAAGTTTCTTTGGACAGATACCATGGTATTACCATGTTTTTGGACATGATAAGGGTGCATTTTTTGAACAGGTACCATATTAATACATTGTCTTAACAGAATACAATACAATATACAGAATACAATCTGATGTTTTACATGGACAGGTACCATGATAATACCATATTTTTTGGACATGGTAATCTCAGATCTTTTTTGACAGGTAGCATGGCAATACCATGTTTTTTTTTTGGACATAAACCTTGGTACTACCATTGCATTTTTGAAGTACTTTGGCTTATCATGTAAATATCATGTTATATGTGACCCTGGACCACAAAACTAGTCATAAGGGTCACTTTTTTAAATTTAATATAGGACAATATTTGGCCGAGATACAACTATTTGAAAATCTGGAATCTGAGGGTGCAAAAAAATCTAAATATTGAGAAAATCACCTTTAAAGCGGTCTAAATTAAGTCCTTAGCAATGCATATTACTAATCAAAAATTAAATTTTGATATATTTACGGTTGGAAATTTACAAAATATATTCATGGAACATGATCTTTACTTAATATCCTAATGATTTTTTGGCATAAAAGAAAAATCCATCACTTTGACCCATACAATGTATTTTTGGCTATTGCTACAAATATACCCGTGCTACTTATGACTGGTTTTGTGGTCCAGGGTAGAGGCTGACATTTTTTCGGGAATCCCACGGGTCACGGGAATCCCGCTGGATGGGAAACAAAATCACTATTAATCACGTGATTGGGACGGGACAGGAATGTCAGCGGGAGTGGGCGGGACCGGGAATCGTAATAACATATGATACCCAACTTTACACACAAATATACATTTATATAAATAAACTATAAACTGTATATTTTAATTTTGAACTCAATTCTAGTTGCCCTGTCTCTTTATGCTCTCCTCCTGTTTGCTTTGGTGTGGCTGGTTAAGTGAATGACGTACGCAGTCCGTGACTGACAGATCGTTAACGGCTGGTCTATGTGGTAATAGAGTACATCGGGCAGGACATCCAAACGCTCGCCTATCATTCATTGACCTCACATATGGCTTTTCATCTGAAAGATATACAATATGTAGTAACAACTTTACATGGCCGCTCAATCTAATGTTAACCTACAGAAATGTGCGCTATTGAAGTGTGTGTGGAAGCTGAACAGCAGCGCGCTCACAGCAGGACAGATGGAGGCACCGGTGCTCATTTGCTCTTAATAAAATACTCCATATTTTCATATGGTCATACAGATAAAAGTAATACTTCTTTCGAATCTGTAAAGACTCAACGTTTATTTGTGTGCACTCAGAATAACAACAGAAACGTAGCGCTTCTGTAAAATAATTAGCAAACAGGATGTGCTTTCTGCCGTCTTGGTCTGTGAACTGGAGCGAGAAACTTCGAAACTCCGTGTATGAAAAATAAATCTATAGAGAGTGAAATGTCTACTTTCAAATGAAAAAAATTCTAATAGAAAACGTGTGTGTTAGCACGGATGATTTACATGAAATTTGTGTGCAATGCAAATTTAGTTTTTATTCAACTAAAGTGGGCATGCTGTGATCTGTACTGTATTTTTTTTTACTGTAACTGACAGATTCCGACCAAAAATAACACAACACGGGAGTGGGAGGGAATGGGACGGGACAGGATTTTCCCCCAGTTTTTTCGTGGGATTGGGACGGGACGGGATTTTTTTTGTGGGAGTGGGACGGGAGAGGTTTGAAAATCCACTCCCGTGTCACCCTCTAGTCCAGGGTCACATATATGGTAATCCTTCAATGCCATGGTGTATACATTAAAGGTGTTAGCATCTGACATCATATGTGACTGCCATTTTATATTTTTGTAAAAGTCATTAGCGTTGGTTAAGGTCGAGAGCGACTGGATTGTGGCAGCCACTGTCATTCACACTTCTGCTGAAACATTTTGCTGCTTGTTGACACACTTTATCGATTCACTTGTTTTTGGATTGTCCATAGACCAAAATATACATAAACATATAATGGTGCAGCCAACAGCCTAACGCTCTCAGTGTGTTCATAAGGATTAGATTGGGGGGAGACAGTGTGAGCTGGAACTAATCCATGCACACCCTGTGTGCCAGAGAGAGAGAGAGAGAGAGAGAGAGAGAGA